GTCTGGTCATTGCTTATCGAGGAGGGTTTATCAGATATAGATGGCGCAAGACTCGAAGTGGGCAAAAGTTAACTTAGTAGCGGGAAATGAAGTCACTGACTACAAGACGAGTTGCCGTTGTTCCGTCTGGTCTTCCAGACTGGATTCCACATGACCCGACATGTGCTTGGCTCGGGACGTTACAAGACATGGCTAGCAGTCGGCGCCAGTGGCGCGTCTGCTGTCGTCTCGTAGTCGAACTGGCTGTTTAAAGTGTGTTGGATGCTGAGTTTTCTGCGGGGTAATAGTTGATTATGACACGGGAGAGTGAAAGCCGCAAAGAAGCTGTCTCGCCAATGCCGCTTTATCTGCACCATAGCCAGCTGTTTGTGAGGGTGTTATTGACCCTGAATATTTGTATAGGATATTAATGTTTAACGCTAGGTCCCCCTTCTCTTCCTCTTTCCGCGCTTCATTCCGTAAGTCATTGTGATTATACCGCAGCGAAGCATTAGCTCAACTGGTTGATCTACTGCTATTGACGTTGATGACCCCGGGTGTAACTGCGTGCGGTTGCGTAGCGGCGGACATCAGTACAATACGCTAGCGTACTGTAGATACCATTTTTGTCTGGTCAAGTCTGATGTACTCCAACGCAGGATGAAAACACTTCCAAAGATGGAATCCCCTCACAGAAATCTTACTGGAAAATTCATTGACTGGATTCCAGTAGTGGGTCGTGTGTCATACATACATGGTCAGGTATGCATGCGCTCCTGAAGCATACACAAAAATATACCCAAATGTTAAGTGAATGAATCTACCATCAGAAGCTATGAGATCAACTTGATGGAGTGACTGGCCCGCGCTAACACATTCGTCACAAACACCATACGTCAGGAACATGAAATGACCCAAAACCGATGAAACACGTCATTATCATCGTCGTCCATGTTTAAAATAGTAGTATGTCAGCGCTTTGCCCTGGTACGTTACTTGCATGAGACCATAGATTAAGAGAGACGATGATTGAGAAAGTGATTTGTGGACATAATCCTAAAGTTTATTTTCAGCGCATTAAGAAAACATTCAGGATTAGAGTGACTTCAGCTTCAAACAACTGCCTGCTGCCAAGACAGTCTTCTCTTTTCTCAACTCCCTGCTTCACCATCTACTTCGTTTTGCTGGTGACTCAGCACTTCGGATGGGAGAGGGCGGTGTTCACACCACTGGTGTCAGTTACGTGCCAAATGCTGTGACCTCCCGAGTCAAACACCGCTTGGGTCTCATGGTCTTCAGCCTGGAATGCCAGAGAGCAACAGAACCTAGTCTAGCAGTCAGCAATTTCATTTACCGTTATCACGTCAATAATTGTTCCCTTCAAGGTTCATGTCATCCTAGCTCCAGTAAATAAAACAAGGATATCTTCAGTGGACATTGGCATGACATTCCTCGAACCAGCGCATGCAGTTCAGTCTCATTCAGTGGTCTGACGAACCAAACCGGTCATCAACACAGGCACAAATACTGTAAAGGTGCGGACACTACATAGTTTGTCCATAGTTGAATGCGCCGAATCGTCATTTCCAATTGTACACCATGATCATATATTCCTAGTAGAGGACTAGCCTCTCGCGTGCCCGAGAAAAATCCCTATTAATACAATACTATTGAATCGATCAATTTAACCTCCAGTGGAGCCTCAGTTATAAAATTGAATTTAAAAGTGGTGTCACTTTGGAGAAAGCTATTTTTATCACAAAGTTTACGAGAATTCTCCGCATATCCTAGCACGATCCGCCCGAAATGCACTCGTAATGTTAACTTATGTCACGGGCATACTTTTTCGGACAGTTACATCCTTGTGCACATTAATTGAAACAAACTACGATTGTGTCTCTTTTTCTATGAATATCATGTTTTTATACATGAAAGCTGCCGTTTTGCATTTATTTTTTTATTTTATTTTGGGAATAGATATTTCATCATTGTTTGTGAATCAGACGATGTAATAACTGCGCATGTCTAGTCGTTACATCACCAAGGATTGCGTCATACTTTTTATAGTTAGTAAGGTTTTTGTTTCAACTTCCTGTTTGTTGTGATTCAGTCATTGTTTGAGATGGACGTGACTCCCAGAAGGCGCATGAAGATCGTGACCTTGCACGAACACACAGACAAGACCTACAGGGACATAGCAAGAATAGTAGGCGTCAGTCCGGCAACCGTCAGCCATGTGGTCAAAAAGAAAAAGGAAACGGGATGCATTTCGCCAAAACGCAAAGGGAAATGTGGTCCTAAGAGGAAAACCGCTGCCAGGGATGACGCTTACCTAATACGGGAAAGTGTTAAAGATCCTTGAAAGACTGGTGACGCATTAAAACGTGATTTGGGGGAGAAAGGAATAGAAATCAGTTCTTCAACGGGATCTGGCCCCGTGCCACACATCAAAAGTGGTCAAGACGTTTTTCAATGCTAATCAAATAACCATCTTGGACTGGCCTGGGAATTCACCAGAGTTAAACCCCATTGAAAATATGTGGTCTATTTGCAAGCAATGCCTTCGTGGCATGGACTGTACGACAAAGGAGAAACTTATTCAAGCTTTAATTCAAGTTTGGTACAGGGACCCAAGATGTTGAAATACGCCAGATCCGTCAGGAAATGTCTTTTTTAGTTCTGGAACAGCTCTTCTTTGGAGAACTTCTATATCTTGTGGAGAGCGCATCATGACCTGGACTGGATGCAAGGCGCCGACGCCGTAATAACTAAAGCACCCCCAAAACATCTGCTTTTGTGGGTGTTTCAGAAAGTGGTCAATGTGAGAATCACGAACCTTTTCTCCCTCTGACCTCCGAACATACTGACTTCTCTGACCATGAACATAGAAATGGCTTTTATCGCTGAATAGGACTTTTCTCCTATCTTCTTTTGTCCAATTTTTGTATTTTAGTCCCCATTTGTAACGCTTAACTTTCATTACTTTTGTCAGAAGTTGTTTTTTCACAGGCCGTTTGGCTTTCCGACCAACTTCCAGGAGTCGCCTGCGAACCGTGAAAGAAATGATTTCTATTCCTTTCTCCCCCAAATCACGTTTTAATGCGTCACTAGTCTTTCGAGGATCTTTAACACTTTCCCGTATTAGGTAAGCGTCATCCCTGGCAGTGGTTTTCCTCTTAGGACCACATTTCCCTTTGCGTTTTGGCGAAATGCATCCCGTTTCCTTTTTCTTTTTGACCACATGGCTGACGGTTGCCGGACTGACGCCTACTATTCTTGCTATGTCCCTGTAGGTCTTGTCTGTGTGTTCGTGCAAGGTCACGATCTTCATGCGCCTTCTGGGAGTCACGTCCATCTCAAACAATGACTGAATCACAACAAACAAGAAGTTGAAACAAAAACCTTACTAACCATAAAAAGTATGACGCAATCCTTGGTGATGTAACGACTAGACATGCGCAGTTATTACATCGTCTGATTCACAAACAATGATGAAATATCTATTCCCAAAATAAAATAAAAAATAAATGCAAAACGGCAGCTTTCATGTATAAAAACATGATATTCATAGAAAAAGAGACACAATCGTAGTTTGTTTCAATTAATGTGCACAAGGATGTATGTTAAACAGAATGCCGATTGTTTTCCTGAAATCGAGAAGCGTGGTTATATTCGGCTTCTGCACCTACGGTAAGTTTTGATCTGTGCAACCTCTTCTGGTCGGCAACTTCTTCCCTCATACGTGGCGGCAGTAGAGGTCACTAACTTTGTCGCTATGGATACCCAACTCGGGTGTCTGCGGTTAACCCAACCTAGATACTAGCTATGAATTTTGTCACGGTGACCGCATTTCGAATTCCATTACTTCATGGAGCTCTTACAACACTGGCCTGCGTCCATGAGTGCGAAGCGTTAGGGAATCGGCAGAACGATTCCTAGGAGACAAGCTGATGTTCAACGTTGCTACTTGGACTGCAAGCACCGTCTCTGGTTGCCTCACTGGCTACCGATTTCCTGTGACAAATGTTGTGTGCTAATGTGGGAATGTCTGCGTTAGTTATCCGAAAGCTTCCCAGTTATCTAATAGCGCACGTTTAGATCGTACCTGCTAGTCCCTTGGTCGCACCGTGCTATGTTCTGATGCAAGGCAGTGCTAGCTAGCAGATAGGCTATGATAGAGTGCGCTATAGTTGCATTGGGCACGTAACTGCGATGCCTTTCTTCTTTGCGTACCTTTCGAGCTAACGATCGCGGTATATTGTTTACCACTTCAGTGATCCTTAAAGCCACAAAATTGTGGCATATTGTGAAAAAGCCCATATATTTGCGTCCTTGTTATTGGCTTCTCTACTTGCATACTATTATGTATCTGATCTCTTTTTACATATTTTCATTCAGTTTTTTACGTTTTGTTGATGCTCATCATTATTGTGACAACCTGAGTCAGTCTAACCCACTCCACCGAACCTCGACACTCTGATCGTAGTTCGTCAACCGTACAAGCCATCAAGAGCGCGGATAATCGAAGAGATGGAGATGCTTGGAATTTTCGGTCCAAACGACTCATGCCTTGGCACTGAAGCACGATGACCACTGAAACAATTCTCCTCCAGTATAGGTTCAAGTTGCTTGTTTACGAAGTTAGAACACTTGGTCTTTTAATGCTCAGGTCGTAGAACCTATGAATCGCATCTGATTTTTTTATCTTATAGTAGCAGAGGGGCATCAAAGAATTGCAGATTGAGGAACCAGCATCTAAACGTCTCCAGAGCAGAAAGTTACCATTCGTGGTACACTTTAGTCAACCCGCCCGACTGTTGATCATCATTTAACGGAGATATCCCCTTCGCCCATGCTAATGATGTTAGGTTTCATCAGGAAGTCTGTTTGATGCTCAAGCTCGTCATTTTACATTAAAAACTCGAATGATTCACACTTTCTTCACTTGATTCTCATATGCCTCAGTTGATGCTGCTCCAATAATCCGTGACGCGCAAGCCACCTTTACTCTTGTGTTTCAGAACCTCAAGTCCGTTCTATCGCTAACCACGTCCGACCGGATCGACAAAGTGAGTTTTCAATCCACTTTTGTTATATTCTGAAACTCCTTATTTACACTGTTGCTTCTCCGTTTTAGCTCTTCTGTTCAGTGCTACCTTTAAACGGCGTTTGGAGAGACTGGCACGCGATATACTATCCGACCCGGTTCGAATCGTTGAGGGACAACTAGGCGAAGTAAGTAGTACACTTGGTGTTCGAAGTTGTTCCGGATAGCTTTAACCGGTTATGTAGCTGGATGGAGCAACTAGACGAGTCAAGAAGTACGCAGAACATTTCTAGCGAATCTTCATATACGCCCTATTTCCAAGCTTCATTCTTCGTGCATCTCTTTACGTTCTTGTATCGTTATTTTCCAGGCAAACGAGAATATCACGCAAATCGTCGAGGTCTTCGATAAGTTAGAGCAAAAATGGGACTGGTTGACCAGACATCTTGTCCGACTCGTCACTGGTAGGCTTTCCCGCGGTTTTCTGCCCTTTTTACATATCACATTCCGGCAGGTTGCGATTTTTGCGGCTTCGTTTTGTATTGGTGTCGTAAACCGGTCCTTCACCCCAGATCGCCGGAACCAAACATTCGTTTTTTAGCACGTCATAAATTCTCACACGACCTATGGAGGTTTAGCGTTTTCATAAGTCAACGCCTGAAATTTCACCTATAATTCCTTAATATTTGTCTGTTTTTCTACTTTTCAGAGGGAAGTGTTCTGATATTTGTGACACGCAAGACTCACAGCGAGGAAGTTGCCCGCAAGCTAAAAATGCGGGATTTTAAAGTGTTACTCATTCACGGCGACATGCACCAGTCGGATAGGACGTCTGTCATCCAATCGTTTAAGAAGCAGGAGGCTCCAATATTGGTTGCCACGGATGTCGCATGTAAGCTTCTTGTCTAAATATTCACTACTCCCCCAGAGATTTATTGAACGGACTGTTGCACTAAGCACTAAAAATAGAACAGGGGGGAACTATCGTCAGCTGGAGTATGTTAAGATCTATTACTCGTTTTATAAAAGCTGGTATAGTGATAGCTCGCTTGCTGTTATGACACACTGACACGAAACCATATGGGATGTGGAAGTGCGAATGAAACCTTTCGAGAGAATACCCCGCATGGAAGCAGGTCCCCAGGAGTCGGTTCCACATTTAACTGTACTAATTATATTGTGCTTTTTCCAATAACCATTTTCATCCTGCTTTTAAACTCCCCTTTTTATCATTTATACCAAGTGAACTCCCCATATACCTGATTTTGTACTCTTTTGGTAGATCTGAAATAACATGTGCACTTTGAGATCGTGTTGTACCGTATGATCAGTCAAGTTTTGGGCTAACTCGCACAGTCGAGAAATACACTTACGTATGCATTTCATCCTCGCATTTATTCACGGTCAAACGGAGGGGCATGCATGTGACCCAAAGGCACCAGGGCCCCCATTTTTGTATCGTGATGGAGTACCTCGTGAATACAAGGACTTGTTCAGGTGAATTGTGATGGCCTCCTTTGATCGCTCACATGATTACTTCAATGCTTTAGTATTTGTGCATTTCTGCGGTCATGTTGAAGAAGCCGCCATCGAGCCACTAGGCTCATGACTGTGTGTGATATTATTACTGCCTTCCGTGGTGTAACCACTCATGTTTCTAATGCGTAACTCTCGCGTCCTGGATTTGAGTTCCCTTTCTTGGGTACCCGCGTACAACGGTGTGTAGTTGCCTTACCCAGGATCATTAGTACAAAGTACTAGTATACTACCAACACCTTGTGCATAGCCGTCCACTCCTGGGATCAGTCTATTTATAAAGATGGCAATTGAACGAGTTCATCAAAAGGACCAAAAAGCTGCGCTCTTTTACCCACATTGTGTTCCTTTCATGTCCATTGCAGCGTCTGATAAGGCTGGACGACCCGAGTTCGTAAACTTGGGGTAATATAAGTTTGGACTAGCGCCAGCTCATTGCTAATTCCCTCACCCAAAGATCACGCTTCTGCGTACTAGTCTGTTTTTGTTGGCGCTTTTTTCCAAACCCTTTAATACATGAATCATATCTGACTAACCGAACTAATCGTCGTTGTACATTGACTGATTTTGCATTCGTTGCGGCCCGTGGCAGCTGTGCTGTACAATTAGTAATGTGTTTGATGATAGTTCTAGTGTTAGTCATACGGATATCACTATCTAACGCACCTATCACCCCATTCTCGCCTAACCGTCCAAAAGATTTGATCTACTTGCATACCTTGATATACCCTCTGAATATGCATCTCATCGTTTATTTTTCTGTTTCAGCCAGAGGGTTGGATATCCCCAGTATACACAACGTGATAAATTACGAAGTCGCTCGCGACATCGACACTCATACGCACCGGATCGGGCGTACCGGTCGTGCAGGTATGAAGGGCACTGCCTACACGCTGTTTGTGGCCGGAAAGGACCCGGTGGATTTTGCCGCATGTCTTGTGCAGCACCTGGAAACCGCAGAGCAAACCGTTCCACCTCGCCTAATGGATGTGGCTTACAAATGCACGTGGTTTGCGCAGAACCGATCATCCCTGGAATTTGCTGGTGGAGCCGCGAACGCCAAGTCTCGGCCTTGCTCTGGATTCCAGCCTCGCCCCACCAGAGCCCGTCCCGGACTCGGCTCGTCAGCGGACATGGACGATTTTGAGTCTCCCACGATGTCACGAAGTGGTCCTGCAACAGCTGCCGCTGCTGGCGAAGGAGCGAGCCTCGTCCGTCCTGGAGGTACGCCCAAACATTTTCACAGTTCCCGAATTGCTGGTTAAGTAAGCATATGGTGTTTCCATATCTAAGTTGAAATTTGTTAGTGCAATTGCCGTGTTTCCAAAACATAGGACCGATGGACCACCGTTGACAAATTCGAAGATCACGAACTAATGCGGCGCATTGCATGTTGATGTACTAAAATGCCTCACTCTTTAACAGATTAAAAAAATCACCGGTTTGGGAGCTCCTCCTTCACAGAACTGCATTCCACCATCAATTTTGTTATAAGTTCTTCTGCGATGGCGAACGTAATACTTATCCGTTTGCGGCAACCAAGCTTGCGTAACCATAAAGGGCTAACCTGGCAGACCGGTACATTCAATACTAGCGCCGACGGTGTTAAACAGATGTAACTTCATGAGAATGAACCAACCAACATCGGAGTTATATGGATGAACATGGTATTTTGGGAACCTGAAAATTCTCTCCTTGGTGTTCCCATAGAAATTCTGTGCATACTCGGTTCTAAGCCCCGCGTGGGTTAGCGGAAGAGGTTACTACAAATGTCACCGAAATCAGCGGTTAAGTTGCAAACAAGATGCAGTAGACCACCGCAAATGTGCTTCCGGTATGCATAGTCTGATAGCAATCGTCTGTCCCAATTTTCTGAACTTATAATTCTCTACGAGGTGTTTCGCGAATTTCATGGAGCAGGAAAGACATTTTCTTTTTCGGGTTCTCCAAAACATGTTTCTTAACTCGTTTTTGCAGGGTTACAAGCAGATCGCTTTTCCGCAATGAAGGCAGCGTTCGCTGCTCAGTACAGTAGAAGATTTGTGTCAGCAGGTATTGAGGCCACCAAGTACACACATCCAGAAATGCTTCAGCCTGCAATGCCAGCCGATGTTGCTCAAACATGCGCAACTGTTTCATCTGCGCTCCCTTCCACACCAGTCGACCTATACACGCCTGCGGTGTCTACGCCAACACCTGTTCCTTCACCTGCTCCCGTTCCAGCCCCGGTGCCCCCGCCGCCTACGCCTCAGACTGAAGTAAAAAAGAAGCGCTCGAGATGGGATTGAGTCATCTGAGACATTTTTTCACATTTTCGCTCAAGCGGAAAGGCATACAACACATGTTCATGTACAAAATTAATTATGTGTTCTCACATACTAAAATCGGGTTGGGAGTATGACTGTGAATGAGAAAGCAAAACAGATTTGAAACCATATCCGAGACAGTGCGATGTCATCGACCGCTGGCTTTGGAAAGGAATCCACTTTGGGCTCAGCAGTGTCATTAACACATGGTATCGCACCAGTCCGGAAGAGTCTGTTGCAGTTTTCAAACGAGACGTGCGACGGAGAAGACCGCCGCACTCTTTAACCTCATCCTCCCCTGGGGCCAAACCTTCCAGAAGGTCGGTAACGACAAGAAGGGGAATAGTTGCTCATTAGAGGATTATAATCTGAAAGACCAAAGGTAGCAGAACAAGCACAAGTTTGATTGGTTGCAGGTTTTTACGTAGCAGTTGCTGGGTTTGATAGAAGTTTTAAACGACATTCGTACTTAGGTTTGGCATGGCCTCGTAAACAGCATTTGCTTCACAGAGAAGTAATTTGTAAACTCTATACCAGAAGATTCATCTTTAGTCACTAGTGGCCTCTATTTATCGACTTATCGTTCTTTACATGGATCGCCTGTATTTCAGACGTTTCCAGTCCCGTCTAATGTTCCTCAACAGAATTCGTCATCATCTTGTTGTTTTGACAGTACACTTAGCACAGCAACAGCTGACCGCTCCGCGAAAAGGCCAAGAGCGAGAGATGCGGTGGCGCCGGAATACTAGGTGTAGGGTCACGTATTATCGTCAGTCACTTGCCAAAAGGAAAGAAACTTAGAATAATGATATACACGTAGGAAGAGTAACACTGTTGGTCCTTAGAGCAAAACCCTGGGATTAATCGCTCGTTGTTCATGTGAGTTATTCTAGTGCTTGGCAGTTAGGAAGATGTTTAACTCCTCGGAGAACCGTTACTGATAATTATGACGCGCGTGTTCTGGGGAATGATAACTTTACAATATGTCTGCCAACTTTATTGTCACGATTACTCGATTTTTCAAGATTTTCTTGTTTACTAAGCCGCTTAAATGATGTATAAAGCTGTTATAAGCATACTCCACCGAGAAATCGTGGGCTTAAAAAACCTTACTTACCATTTGCACGAAGGGATGTTTTCTTAGGATTTTTCGCACAACCTCGATCTTTCGAAGAAATATCATTCTGCTGCAAACGGGAATGAAGTTGCTTACAGAAAATCCATATCATTAGATGTTAGATAAGAAAAATGTGTAACGGATTTCTACGCCGTTTAGTGATGAAAAGCTTACAACCTAATTGTCAGGCTCGGAAAACACAGGAACACCTGTAAAGTCAAAGCTAACCACGTGTTTTATCCAGTATCTTCGCCGGTTTGAGTGCCTTCATTAGTCCAACTGAATGACGAAGAAACATTCGGTAGCCGATTGTGCGAATCTGCTCATCGTCAGACTCAGGTAATCTCTACAGCTTGCTCCAGATGATGGCTAAATGTACGAACTGTGGTTGTTCAAACTAATAAGTGCTAGAGCTCTGCTACCTCGGAATGATTGCATGGGCGGCCTACCACTTCCCAGCTGGAACATAGTTCATCATTGCTCAGTGATGGGATTACAGTGTAACAACAGGGCCAGCAAACGTAGCTGGCTGACGACCGTAGCTACTACGTGCTAATAGACAAAATCCTCCCGAGGTGAGCTGATTAATGTGGTCACCGAGGTGACCTACCTTAAACATTACAAACTTCTAGCCTCGTAGATAAACGGCCACGACTAGTTTCAGGTGGGAAGTTCTTTTTCTCAATTTGTCTAAACATTATATAAGGACGAGAGTATCAAGCAAACCCGATAGGGCAGTTCCAAATGAATGACGTGTCGAGGCCGTTTTTCTCCGGATTTTTTCCTGTCGATTTCAGTGACAAATAGGGAGTCAGTAGAAATTGGGCAGCGCAGAAGCGTCATTTAGGCCCAATACTACCTCCAGCAGCTATGGCTTGTAATACCGGCCTGGATCTGGACATCATGGCAATGTCCTTTACAGTATTTGCTGAGCTGTAAACAGGATACAAAGTCACTGACCACTCGGTCGGGTGCTGTTGGTCTATCTCGGCTCCCAAGCTGATCCAAACAATCCACCTTGTGCTTGGTTTGGCCTTCGTCACTGCCCCGTTTGTCGTTATTTCCTTGGTGTGTTTGATGCCGAGTTATCTGACGGGTAAGGCTGCTTATGTTTCGGGACACTGAAAGTTGTCTCGCCAATAGTAAACAGCAGTTTGTGATCGTCCGATGTTGTTAAGGTGTGGTCACATTGATCCTGAGTGCTTGTGGCATTTATCGTTTTAGATCAAGTCTAATCACACATATTTATTCATTGGTAAGGCTTCCATCGTTGTTTGCAGCGAACATCAATTCAGAATGCTGATGTATCGCAGCCAGTGCTCACGAGGAACTTCCATTTCGTGGTAGCGAAATTTAACGCGGAGTTCCTTACCTTCGTTACTACCGGAATCATCTGATAGTTTTTTAGTTAGTACAAAAGTTGCGATTACCTTTTTCGTATCGCAACCACGATCAACTCATCTCGGCAGACTGGGGCAATTTCCGCCTTTTTAAAATTTACTGACAATAAGTCGGCGAACCTCACTCGCATACTGGAATCGTGCAGGTACGAGAGAACCGGGGCAAACTGTTAACATATGTGACTCACGAAAATCAAGTTGTGATAGAGCAATCAAATTCGCCGCCTGTGTGCGAAACAACCGACAGGAGGCCAAGTGAACTGCACATGAAGTTCTCTGTACGAGCCGACCGGCTTCCTTTATTCTGGTTGAAGTTTACTATGTTGCCTCGATCTGACCAACCAATTCCCGGGATTAATGGTGTTTAGACGAGTCTATGTTAGTTAGGTAGCACTTGTGACTTCAGGCATCTACGTCAGGTTGGGGTTCAAGCCCCAATTCTCGTCGGATATCAAGTCCAGATGCATTATGCTAGGTTTCAGGGTAGAATTTTTTCGGGATTCCAATAGATTCACTCGACTTCCGGATAGTCGTTACCCAGCGCGACGATGGCTGGCAATGCAGGAAACAGACGCTCTTACGTCACGCGTGGCAGCAACAAACATGTTTCACTGACGCTGGGCGAACTCAACCGCCATATTCCCGGTTTTCGTCTTATTGTGCCCACGTGAGAGGGTGAAGGCGTCGTCGCGTCATCAGCAGCGCGCCAGTACGCCGTAAAAACGTTTCGCTGCCCTACGATCGCCATTAGAGACGCGCGGGTTAGAAATACCGCGATGTTGCCTGCACTTACGCAGATTCGAAACGGTGATATTTTGATTCCAGGACAAACACGTTGTCCATTCGGCCACTGGCCGTTTTATGGGTGAACAACGATCTGCGAATAGACACACATTGTGGTTGCAGTGACCGACGAGGCGATAAGGAAGGACAAACGGTGTACTACCCAACTACGACGCACTGAATCCACTGTAGCAATCTAACCTTCTAACACGGTAGTCTCACTCGAATGCAAATATCTGGGTATTAAACGATGTCGGCCTCAGCGAAGACAATGGATCGGTATTTCCGCTATTGACTCATCGTCGTAAAACCATAAATTGTTTTATGCGAACAGGGATTAACAGGATACCAAAGTCCAGATAGAATGGCACAGCGACTTAACAGCAGAGTAGGAAGTACATAGTGATAAACCTTAACCGCGGAAATGAAGCTGGACCTAAACGCGGGGAGATGGTTTGTCTGCCCTAAACGACCAGGTTTCTTCTCAGACTAGCACGTAATTGTGAATATCGAAGAATTTGCTTTTGGACGGATTGTGTCGACTAGCACCAAGAATCTCCAAAGACTCATCGCCGTGGCTGGCGATAGGATTTTCCACACGAAGGCATGCCTGTTATTAATGACATCTGGTGCAAGTATTGACCAACCGTGTTCAGCGAGCGCTTACCAGCTTCCTCTTCGGTTAGTGGTCATGCTGCTCTTTGGACTGTTCCCTAAGATTTGCTCTCTCGCGATCATCACCAGTTGTGCGTGAGCTGGGTGTAGCGCGGGGTGGCCCACGTTTATGCGAATTCTAACCGATGGTCTCCAAATTATAAATCAGACGCTTTATCGTTTCCGCCGGCGGGTTACATACTGACTGGAATACTGTAAGACTTCCCGAATGTATGCCTTTCTGTCGGCAACTCGTGGTATGAAGACCAAAAGCCCTAATCACTGTCAACGGCCAAGAAGACTGTGCATCCCGTCCCCTCCAGAAACGACCAACTGTCTCCTAGAGCCAGCATGGACGAGGTATTAGGTAATAGCCAGGTAGGCACCTTGTCAACATGCACATCAGGCGCAGCCACACCGGGGATATCAAGCAACAGCCAGTCACTTGAAATGATATCAAATAAAATAAATCGGATGCATTCAGATGCGGTGACATAACTCCTCAATAAATGAGCATATGAAATAAATTGGTTGCCAAAAAATCCGCGAAAGGTTCAAGATATCAGAAAATATGTTTTAAGGAAATGTCACAAACGCGAAAATGTTATCGAAGTTAACCACAACCAGCTTAAGAGACGTGTACAAGTAAACAGAAGATAGCTCAGGTAGACATTAATGAGATAAATAAAAGCATTAGGACAATATAGCAAACCTACCACCTGAAATAAAGGGACTCAGCATGCAAGCACGCGGATAGTAAATCGAATGCAGCGTACCTACAAATGCTGCGCTGGTCATGCCTACGTTCTATGCAGGAATCGTCATCGTTTCTATGGTGGCCCTCAGTGGCCACGCTCATGGCTCATTAGGCCTGTCTGACTCAGGCACTCGCGACCGCATGTGCTACAGCGCCATGCGTTCGATGTCGATGGAGTACAACTTGTGATGGTAATATCAGATCAGAGTGAGCAGATGGACCCACCGAGCGAGCCAATGGGAGGCGGACGTGACGGATTCGATTACTGGACTCGGATTGGACGATATTCGTGTGACTGATTCACGGTTTGTTTAACTGAAGAGCAAAGGAGGAATCCTATCGACTCAGAAGGGTCGTTAGTTATGGGCTTTAACCTGCCCTCCACCGTTTTTTACAGCGTTGTATGCAAAAAAATATCAAGCTTAAACGTGGATAAATTGAACTTCGGAAAGACGAGGTGATTGTCCCTGGGCATTTGCTAACAACACAAGGGGTCAATGTCGATCCAGGAAAAAGTAAGGCAATTCGAGAGGTGCCGCTTCCTAATGACGTGAATGGAATCCAGCGCTTAAACGGTATGGTGAATTACTTGAGCCGTTTTATGCCAAGCCATGCTGATATCATGACGACGATCAGGAAGTTAACTCACAAAATAAAGTGGAGTTGGGGAAAAGAATAGGAAACCGCATTCCAAACTATTAAGCCTCATTAGAAACGCGCCTGCACTCGGGTATTGCGATCCAGCGCAGCCTTTTGAGGTACAGTGTGACAGCAGCCAAGACGGAATAGGTGCTATTCTCTTACAGAATGGAAAAGCTTTGAATTTCCGGAACCGAGCACTCACATGTTTCGAGCGCGCTATGCGTAGACAGAAGGAGCATGCCTTGCGGTAGTCTATGCCACGGAGCGTTTCAACAACTATACTTTCGGAAGAAAGACAACGTTGTATACGGACGACAAGCCGCTTGTGTCAATAGCCAGGAAACCGCTGCACGTCGTTCCTCGTCGCCTTCAGCGTGTGCTTATCCGGCTTCAAAAGTACGACGTGGATATTGTGTATACGCCTGGCGCACGCACAGATGTTCATCGTGGATACACTATCAATAGCTCATTTGTCGGTACCCGAGCATAGTCTCGAAGAGTCGAAGCAGTAAACTTAGTACAGCCTGGCAGTGACAGAAGATCGCCTAAAGGAAATAAGGTGACACACAAAGGAAGATGCAACACTTTCGGCTTTGCGAGACGTTATTCTAAATGGGTGACCAGAGACAAAGAAGCAGTTACCGAAGGAACTCTCTGTCTACGATGATTTGCTGTTCATGGGAAGCCGTATTCTGATTCCGTTATCCCTCCGTGGAGAAATACTGAAATACGTTCATCGCGCTCACCTTGGTGCCAACTATACCATTAACCGATCAAGAGAATTGATCGTTTGGCCAGGAATGACGGGTCAAATAAAAGATCATGTATCGAATT